AGCAGCAGCAGCAGCTGACAATTTTTTATGCATTTTTTGCAGCTATGCATTGCAGAAAAAGCATATTGACAAGAGGTTGCCTGTGTGTGTGTGTGTGTGTCTGTTTGTTTGTGTGTTCGTCTGCACCGATTTTTCATCTCGAGACCGGCAAAAGCTATGGGGCTGAAACTTTGGGGACATAATCTAGATGCACGTACGGGCCTCCATCCACAAAATTGGCGCCAAAACCCGCGTGGTACCCGCGTACGGCCCCCCAAAATTCTTCCTGCGCAAATTCATAACTCGGGGTTCTGAGATGCTAGAAAGCTGAAATTTTAGGAGAATGCTGCTGCTAGCTGGCAGCAGCAGCAGCTGACAGCAGCAACAGCTGACAGCAACAACATCTGACAGCAACAGCAGCAGCAGCTGACAGCAGCAGCTGACAGCAACAGCAGCTGATAGCAGCAGTAGCTGACAGCAGCAGCAGCTGACAGCAGCAGTAGCTGAGAGCAGCAGTAGCTGACAGCAGCAGCAGCAGCTGGCAGCAGATGGCAGCTGGCAGCAGCAATAGCTGGCAGCGGCAGCTGACAGCAACAGCAGTAGCTGACAGCAGCAGCAGCTGACAGCAGCAGTAGCTGACAGCAGCAGCAGCTGACCCTGTCCACCTAAGTTTCATTCAGCCCAAACCCAGATATGCTTGGTAAACATGCACGGGCCCGTGAAAATTTTGTTCCAGTAAGTTGCTAACTCAGGTGCCAAGGGAAGCTAGAAAGTTGGAATTTTAAATAGAATGTTTTCTGACAGCTCTGGTGGCCAATCTTAATTTGTTCAGTTAAAAGCATTTGCCGAAAAAACCGGTAGCGGTAGCAACAGAAACCGCGGGGAACCATGCAAAAAACGCATCTTCGCACGGGCAGCCCGTGCGTTGGCCAATTATCACCATTATTACTACTGTCAGTTTTTAAATATCAGCATTATTATTGCCACTGTCACCATCACCATTATTATTATTATTATTATTATTATTATTATTATTATT